AAGGGGCGGGGTGAGGAGGGTGTGGGGAGGGGATGTCCAGGGAATACCCCAAGGAGAACCATCTCAAGCAATGATGACACATGGGGTATGGCGCCTTTGTGCTCTTCTTGACCATCGCTCTGTTGGCCGGCGTCCGGCATTGTCCAGCCCCAGTGATTCATGCGCTGGGGCGTGCACGTGCAGAAATGTGTGCGTGCGCGTGCGAGCGAGTATGTGTGTGTGTTTGTGTGTGCGTGCGTGCGTGCGTGCATGTGCAGAGAGGCGGGGACTGGACAGAATGCCTTGAGCGCGGGAGTGATTAATGAAGTGATAGACCGTGACTCGAGCTCAACTCTCTCCCCGACTCTCGTCCACGGCACGGTGGGGAGACTGCCCACAATGGTCATCCGAGAGGGTCCCTGATGACGTGTTTAATGTGGGAAACTTAATGGCTCTTCTGGGTAATTTTATGGTAAAAAGTTGGGTGGGTAGCCGTGGAACGTGGAGAGAGAGGAGAGAAAAGTGGGTGAAGTACCGAGCGTGTAATGTCGGCATGGTTGTAGAGTGCTTGTCGACTTCCTAGAGGACTGCAGAAGTACAGGCATAGTGTACGTATTGGACGGACAGACAGATCTGTAGACATGACCGGACCGACAAGCAGACAGACGTAGAAAAGGACGTTTAGAGAAGAGGGTTCACACAACATAATATATTATACTCAAAAGACGGACCCCCAAAAAAATGTGAAATGGTAAGGGTTTATCAACAAAGACGGAAAATCAGAAAGCAAAATAAAAGGAAAGCTATAATAGATTTTTAGTTTTTCTTTTTTATAGTTTTAGAAGGGTTTTTTTACGGCGCTCGCCACTGCATAGTAAAATAGATATTGACAATATAAACATAGATGGACACAACAACGGATAAACCTATTTTGATTGACATAATAATAATATCTCAACTCACCGAGGTAGAGAAAAGGAAGAACTTGCGAGGCCGTTGCAGCCTCTATCTCTGGTTCCTGCACGCCGTTGGTGGGGCTGTACAGCAGGGGCCTCTGGGCCTCCAATACCCGGGAACTGGGCCGGCACAACTCCTCGTGCTCGATGCTGAAGCTTTTCAAACCGCCTGAAAACAGCAAAACAGAGAGATTTATGATAGTGATGATGATGATGATGATGATGATGATGATGATGATGGTGATGATGATGGTGATGATGATGATGATGATGATGATGATGATGATGATGATGATGATGATGACATATTCGTACGATTGTAACTGGAAACAGAAATAAATATATCAGAATTTATTAACACAAATTAAAAGGAATAATTTTTATATTTGTACAAGTAAATACAGTTTTCGGTCAAGACATGCTTTTTCCTATTGAAGAATAGGCTTAATGACTCCACTATACACATAGCATAGTGGACAGGGTCAAGAGAAACAAAACTCGTAAACATGTATTATTCACACCTCGGCCTTTCATCTGCGCCACAGCGACCTGTAAGCTTAGAACAGGATAACTGTGGTGTCCAGAGAATGATACAGATTATATTAGTGATCGGTAGGCGGACTATTGAACAGATTTGTTCCCGCCCCTAAACTCGGGTTGTTCGAAAAGAAAAAAAGTCCAGATAGAAACAACTTCCACTTAGTCTCATTGAAGACTGGGGTATTCAACCAACGGCGCTGCCACTTTTTGCGTGAAAGGAAGCAAAATGATGAAGATTTACGGGGAAGGGGAATGCAAAAATGTGGGGGTGAGGTGAAAGGTGGGAAGGGGGCGGGTGAGGTGAGAGGTGGGAAG